TTTGCTGAACCCTTTTTAATTTCCTGTGCACGTGCATGCAGCCTCAGAGTTGGCCAGGAGTGTACAGCTTGGACCCTATCTGGTCTCTGCTATGCATGTGCGCAGCCTCTGATCATCCAGAAATCTGCATTTTCCAACCAGACTGCAATGTCAGGCTAGTAGGGCCATCAGCTGCCCCTGCTTGCATAGCAGAGAGAGATCATTGATAAAAATGTTGGGTATTGGTATCACCTGCTGCTCCAAATTGAGCGAACACCCCCTTCAGCCACAGCAACCTGCCGGCCCATATGTTCTGTTTTGTCCCGCAGAACCTCCACAGTGACTGAGCTGGGGGAGGAGGAGGGTGGGAGCAGCTCCAGGCAAAAATGCCACAGTCTCCCACGGTCCCTGCACAAAGTCTGCAGTTTTCCAAACATAAACACATGTCAGATTGTTGTATGCTTTTGGCCAGTTTCCAGAGCAGCAGAGTTGTTTGGTCAATTTTTTTTCCAGCATTATAGTTGCTTTTTTGAGGAGAGGATTTGCTGACCCCCTTCCTTGGCGATACCTAGAAGTGCTACCCAAAGCATCTGAGCCTTGAATTATGTTTTGAATAATTGGAGAGGTTGAGACTTGAAAAAGATAAATGCCTCAATTGGAAAAGGATTGCACTCCTACCAAAACTAAATAGCCCACTGCAAACTGGTGATCCAATTGTTTAAAATGGTTACAGCTGATAATGGGAACTGGCTAAGGAACAGGAGGTATGTGCTGTGTTTCCCTTCTGTCTTCTGCTGGTAGTTCTGAATTCTTTCACGCTCTGCTCTTCACGAACTATCCTTGTATTCGTTGACACTAACTTCCTTTAGTCCTTTGAGATTGGACGGTCATTGGTTACCTAGCGGTCACAACAGTTCAAACTCCACAGTATGCCATCTTAGTTTGGTCTTTACAGTGATGCCTGTGTAGTTGTTTAGTATCACATCTTACCTGGTTAGGCAAAATGTCTGGGAACTGGAAAAATGATAATCCCACAGCTAATGATAAGAACTTATATTCTAAGAATTTGAAACAGGAATCCATAGATCATTGAACTAAAGTCAGTGATAGGCTCACCTGTGAAGGGTCAGCACTGGGGTGTATGGTAAAGAAGGCATGGACTCCTGGACGCCTGGAGACTTATTCTTGTGGGGGTGGGGTAGGTTGTGTTGCATTTTAGTGGGTATTTGCATTTTCAACAAGGCTTTACTAGATCTGTGGTTGTGTGGTGTTTTTCATATTGAATACCATGTTTGTCTTCACCATCTCACATGAACTAAAATTGTCCTGTTATTAGACCGTAAAGTTTTGTTTCTTGCTGACACCGTCAGTGAGTTCGTCATCAAATGCCACAATTAAGCTCACATGTTGTCACACTCTACATGTCTCATATAGAAGGTCTTTTCTCAGGAAAATCAAAGTTCTCTTTTATGTGTGTATTTTATAAAAAAGGATAGATTGGTTGCCACCACAAAACATCAATTTCTCTAAGATTTTACTCTCATCGGATCTGTGGTTTGACATATAATTAGCCTTTTTATTGTCTTTCATAAAAACAATTAATTACCAGTATCTTCCTCCAACTGCCCCCCAAAGGTGCATATCCTTACTGGGGCTAAGTAACTCTTATTTATTTGTTTTTGTTTGTTTTATTTTGTTTATTTGTTTTGTTTTTATTTGTTTTGTTTTTGTTTTGATTTATTTACTTATATATTAGAGAGAGAGAGAGCACACTGGGGGAGAAGCAGGAGAGGGGACCCAGACTTCACGCTAAGTTAGGAGCCTGATGTGGGGCCGGAGATCCTACGACCCTGAGATCGTGACCTGAGCCGAAATCAAGAGTCAGACGCCTAACTGGCTAAGCCACCCAGGTGCCCTATTTATTTATTTTTAATTTTTTAAATTATTTTTTTTAATGAGTGGAAGATGTTACTTTATTTTTTCTTTGTAATTATTTTCTTTTTAAAGACAATTCTTTAGAACAGAGGAAAACCAAGTCCGGTTGAACAACATGGGTTTGAACTGCACAGGTGCACATATATGTGGGTTTTTTACAGTTCAGTACCTTAAGTGTATTTTCTCTTATGACTCTCTTAATAACATTTTCTTTTCTCTAGCTTATTTTACTGTAAGAACACAATATGCAATACATGTAACATGCAAAATATGTGTTAATCAACTGTTTATATGTTATTAGTACAGCTTTTGGTCAACAATAGGCTATTAGTAGTCAAGTTTTGGGGAGTCAAAAGTTATATGTGGATTTTTGACTGCATGGGGGTTGATGCCCTGAACCCCTGCATTGCTCAAGGGTCAACTATACTTGGGTAATAAATGTAATCTCAAACCTAGAAGCCACCAAATTGGGAACTAATTTGTAGTTGTTATGTTTCCTTGTGAGTAAGAAAATATTCTTTTTCTTTCTTCTCTAGGGTTTCCCAAATGATTTCTCACACCTAGAATATTACAACCCTGCATTGAACAGTTAATTAAACTAGTGGATAGGTTATAATTAGTTTAATATTTCATCTCTGAGGCCCCTTGGCTAAAGTATATATTAGTAGCTTTAGGGTGAAGAAACCTGGCAACCTTACCCAGGTGAACAAGGTTAACCTCATGGGTGAGAGGCCACACCCGGAACTTGGCATTACCTGAGAGGTGTGAAGAACAGCATTATTTCAGTGATAATCCTGCGAAAGATGTATGACGCCAATCTCATCAGGAAGAAACACCAGACAAATCCCAATGGAAGCACACTGTATAAAATAGTTTTCCTGCAACCCTCAAAAATATGAAAGTCATAAAGGTCAAGTCAAGGGAGGACTGAGGAATTGTGCTGGATTGAAGGAAACTGAAGAAACAAGTACAATTGTGCTCCTGGTTTGAACCCTTTTGCCAGGAAGGACGTTGAGACAGGTGCTGAAATTTGAATGGGATCTCTTGAGTGAGGGGTGTATGGAAATTTTTCTACTGTTGTTGCAACTTTTCTGTAAATTTGAAATATATTTTTTAAATGTCTTCCCCCCCTCACTTTGCAGACTTAAATTTTTATTTTTTATTAAAGATTTTTATTTATTTATTTGGCAGAGAGAGAGAGCACAAGCAGGGGGAGCGGCAGGCAGAGGGAGAGGGAGAAGCAGACTCCCTGCCAGAGCAGGGAGCCCTATACGGGGCTCGATCCCAGGACCCTGGGATCATGACCTGAGCTGAAGGCAGCTGCTTAACTGACTGAGCCACCCAGGCGTCCTAAACATTGGGTTTCTTATTGAAGGGCTTGTGTTCTAAATCTGCCACTTCCTGGCACTATTACTTTCTCCAGCTAGTGACCTCTTGTTTTTAATGAGGATTTTTCTACCTCATTACAGGTTGTAAGGGTCAGATGAAATAATTTCTTCAATCATACTTTTGGCAATCAATAAAATGAAGACGAGCCATTAAGGAGGAGAATCCTGGCAAGATGGTAGCAGTCTAAGAATTGTCCAGAGGGTCCTAGAAGAAGGATGTGTGATGGAAGCTCTAAACAGTAATGTAGTTAGACCTCCACTGCCTGCTCAAGCCCAACACGGGAAGAGAAATGGGACCACAGCTCCTAGCTCTCAGGCTCTGGCTGGCTTAATCACTTGCTGTCCACCTTCTCAGGTCCTTTGTCACGGCACAGGGATGGGCCTGTGGAAAAAGAATTTGACTAGTGGCCAGTTTTCGTTGTAGCCCTGCAGACATAGATTTACCTTCCAGATATTTTAAGTCTAATCCCTTTGCCTCACAGGTGAGAAAAATTGACTCCAAGTGAAATTAGATTGTTTGCCCATGTAGTAAATGCCAGTAGCAAAGTTAGTGCTCAGGGTTTGGTCCATCCTGGTGCAATTCTACATCACCTTATTGTCACTATTAGTCTTGTCTTCCCCAGAGAGACTGACAGATCCCTGAGGGAATACACTATATCTTAGACATTACTTCCTGAATTCCTTAAAAGACTCAGCAGAGAACTGTGGACACAACAGGGATCTGGAAAATCCATGATGAATTAAAAAATGATCACTATTTCTGATTTATTGTTGTTGCTAAGAAAGAGGGACTATGGGAAGGTCAACAAGCGGCCAGTTAGGTGGCTTTCTTCTAGAAAGATGCTGGTGCTTGGACTGGAGAGCACGGTGGAATCCAGAACACACCATATACTCGGTCAATTTCCCAAAGGTCCGTGTCTGACAGATTTAAAAATGAATGAAGACACGGGCAGTCTTCCGAAGGTGCAGCTTTTGGTTTTATTTCAACTGGCTGCCGGTATACAAAAGTATAAGATACATTTCTTTAAAAACCTAAACCAACCACCAACCCAAACCCATAACTGGTAATTCAATTGTTCAGGAAAGGGGGCAGCCCCGAGCTCATCTACATAACAAGACATCTTGCTCCAGGTACAATGTGCAGCCCTCAGGTGAGGCCCTGTCTCCACACTAACACAGCTCTGGTCTCCAGTGGCTTGCTGGCTTCCCATGCCTTGGCTGGGCTGGGACTTTTTCAACCCCAAAGGCAGAAAATCAAAATCACAGATTTTTTCTGGATATTTTGACCTGGCCCTTTAAGTGACATCTTTAAGACAGCTAAACTCAAACTCAGACTCATATAAACGTGAATCTGGGAAGAAAGGCCGGCCCAAAGAGAGGAGGGTCAGACCTACTCCTTTCCGCATCAGTGACCCCGCGAATGCCCTGGCAGACTGAAACGGAAGCAAAGAAGGGGACTCGAATGTGCATGACCTGATGTCAAGTCCTGGCTAAAATTGTCCCCAGCTGTGTGTTTTTACGAGGGTCGTTTACCCTCCTGAAGCCCCGGCTCCCTCCGTCTGTCATCTCCTGCCTTCTCAAGGCAGACAGGTCCATCTGCCAGCATGGTGCAGGAGCTAATGCGACTGAAATCCGAAGTGCTGCACGGGGGCGGGGGGGGGGGGGCAAGGGGGTCTGGGGGGGGGGGGGGGGGGGGGGGGGGGGGGGGGGGCAAGGTGGTCTGAGGAGGCGGCGGAGGAGGACGAAGAGAAGGAGAGAAAGTAGGATCAAAGAAAGGAAGGGTGGAGAGACGGAGCCAACACAGTACAAGGGGCGTGGGTGCCACTTCTGGGCTAGGCTTGGGCTTAGGTGATGACGTTAGCGGGTGGGTCCTCTTCACCACACAGAGGAGAGAGCTCGCTGCTCATTAGACCTGACCTGGAGCCAGTCACTGGGAAAGAAAATCAACACTCAGACTCACTACTATGAAGCTACCCTTCATATGGCTTCCATTCACAGGATCACTTGTAAAGCCTCTATCGCCTCTCTGGGCAGGAGACAGGCTGCTGAAGGGGCTCCCAGCCTGGCCCTGGAAGAGGTCACATCTTCACACTTCTTCAAGCCACAGAAAACTTGAACCAAGTGGTGTGGTCATACTCCTCCCCAGGCCTCAGCAGCACAGGAGGGAAGTGAGGCTGTGAAGGGAAAAAGAAGACAGGTTACACTTGCCAGCCCAGCTGCCCCCTTCACCATTCAGGATGGCTCTGGACTGGTCTCTAGAACCAGCTGCCAGGGTAACAACTGTTTACTATTGGTTTGCAGTGAGAGAGAACTCAAGCCACATCACTGAGCACTTTGTTACAGCAGGACTTTCCCGATGAAGGAGGCCGTGTATCAATTTACATTCTGGTGCAAGCTGCAGAGCTGGTGCTTTGGGGAGCACTACTCTAGGCAGTAGCTAGAAAAAGAAGTCATCAAAAAAGAAGTAAGCAAATAGGAAGAGAAGATGGGATCATTTTAAAAGTGTGGTTGGGGCGCCTGGGTGGCTCAGTTGTTAAGGATCTGCCTTTGGCTCAGGTCATGATCCCAGGGTCCTGGGATCGAGCCCCGCATCGGGCTCCCTGCTCGGCAGGGAGCCTGCCTCTCCCTCTCCCAGTCCCCCTGCTTGGGGGGGGGGGTCCCCTCTCTCGCTGTGTCTCTCTCTGTCAAATAAATAAAATCTTAAAAAAAAAAAAGTGTGGTTGCAGGGGGAGCCTGGGTGGCTCATTCAGTTAGGCATCTGACTCTCAATCTCGGCTCAGGTCATGATCCCAGGGTTGTGAGATCAAGCCCTGTGTCAGGCTCCGTGCTGGGCGTGGAGCCTGCTTAGGATTCTCCTCCTCCCTCCCCTTCTGCACCCCACCTCCCAAAAAAGTATGGTTGCAGAAGATGAGCAGGTATTGATAAGGAGCAACGTTGAACTGAATAAAGGCTTTGAAGGAATAAAATAGATTAAAAAAATACATAAATGCTATGTTAGTAACTTGGCTAAAGGTTTCCTTATCATGACTGGGAGAAGAGAACCCCGTGGACCTGTGATTCACACAGACCTGAGTGTCGTGACCTCTGTCATACAGTGTGACCTTGGGCACAACACCACTGAGAAGCCAGGCTGGAGCTTTACCTGATTGACGGCATCAGGCCAGTTCTGGGTCTCGAGACAGAAACCAGAGTGCTTGGGATAGACTGCGCCGCCCTTGCCCTTCAGCGCGCCATCCAGGAAGTTGCCTGTGTAAAACTGGACCCCAGGCTGGGTGGTGTACACCTCCAGTAGCCGCCCGCTTCCAGCATGCCGGACCCTGGGGGTAAAGCAGACCACATCGGTACATCGGTACAGGACACAGAAGCCGGCAGGGACAGGGCGAAACTGGGAAGCAGCCTCTGAGACAGTAAGCAGGCCCAGCCACAGAGCAGGGACAGATTCACGGAGACAAAGATGAGGAGAGCATGATGGGAAATTCTCGTAGTCTCCTGGGTGAGGCGTGAGCAGGTGGTTCTGAGGATCCTCCAATGGCCACTTCTCACTGTGATCTTGGCTTCTCTGAGGAAGGCTCACCCCAGCCAGGTATATGTGTGTGTGTGTGTGTGTGTGTGTGTGTGTGTGTGTGTGTGTGTGTGTGTGTGTGTGTGTCGGGGGCAGCCAGGTTGAAGAGACACAGTTTTCAGGTTCTGGGGGGGCTGAGATTCTTTCTCATAAAAGAGTTGGAGCTCTCTGCTCGGCCTGGCAAAGCCACCAGCTTTGTCTTGAAAGAGAAGAGATGCTTTTCTAAATTAAACCATCCCCCTTCCCTGGGGCTCGAGCAGGCGGCGCTTTTCAGTCAGATCTCCCCTGAGAACAGATGTACTGTCAGTTTTTGCTAGATTCACTGTTTCCTTTAAAAAAACAAACAAAAGAACCCCCCCAAAAAACAGGACTCTACAGAGCTGAGAGTACCTACCCGCTCCCATACTTGGTGTTGAAGGGATATGGATAAAGACAAGCCTCAGTCTTCTCCGCTTACTGAGAGGTAAAACATCCCAGCAATGTATGGTCAATGAAGAGGTTCAGGGAAAGATGTTTGGGAAGAGGAGGGCCAGGATCTGAAGAGTGGAGAGAGGCCGGAGCGTCTCCTCGAGGTGGGTGCAGGAGAGAGAGGAACGTGAGCGCTAGGCAAGAGGAGAATGGCAGAGTCCAGCCGGAAGAACACAGGGACTGGGGCTCGGAGGGGGAGAAGGCTTTTGACGTTTCTCTTGGAGTTTGAATCGCTTTCTCTGCTTTATTTCAAATCTATTTATTCTACAGACATTATTTGCTGGCGCCAAGCATGGTGTTAGGCACTAGGGCAGTTGGGGGGGGGGGAACTCAGGGAGACGAGACGGCAGGAGGAGTCAGAATTTAGTGAGGAGGAGGGAGAGTGCACACAAATGCCGCTGAAACAAGGCTGCTGGTGCTGGTGGTGGGTGCTCCGGGGAGAAGGGCGACCTCTGACGCTCCATGGAAGTAGACAGAGCATGAATCACATGTGAACACAGTACAAAGGGCTCCAGAAGTTCAAGGAAAGCAGAGGTGACTTCAGTCTGGAGGAATCAGGCCTTCTAAAAACAGCGGGCCTTAACAGGCACAGATGGGGAGCGAGGGAGCGAAGAGAAACAGGCTGCCAGGTGGGCGCACAGGGCTAATGGCCCGGTGGGGGAGGGGGAGAGAAGTTCCGGGGGCGGGGGGGGGGGGGGCGGCTCCGCGGAAGAGGAGCTTTGAAAAGACAGGGGATGTGTATGCGGTCCCTGCAGCAGAGTGAATGCTACTGATACGGCCAGAGAAAAAGCTCCTCATATAGGACGTGGCATCTCTTCTTCCCCACAGAGGCAGCAACCGAAGAGGACCTACCATGCACAAAAGTGCTTTTCTTTAGATCCCTTCAGACAGAAATTGTGGTCGAAGCCATTGAGATGGAAGTCCTGCAGGTGCTTCCCAAGCTCGACTGGCTTCCGCAGGTCAAAGGCAGTTCCTTGTACTGGAGCGACTTCTCCTGGTGGGAAGAGGCAGATTAAAAGGCAGCAGGCTGGAGCACTCTGGTCAGGCTTTCTTGAAAGAGGAGAGGGATTCTACTCCAGAGCTTTACACCGTGATCCAGTTTAGTCTCTGTCTTTATTTTAAAAAAAAATTTTTGTTTTCCTAATTTGAGCATAGTTAACACACAATATTGCGTTAGTTTTAGGTGTGCAACGTAGTGATTCTACCTTATGCCGTGCTCTCCATGAGAGGGGTCCCCGTCTGTCACCAGGCAACTCTATTACAATACCACTGCCTAGATTCCTCGTGCTGTGCCTTTTATTCCTGTGACTTACTCATTCCACAGCCGGAAGCCCGGTTTAGTTTCTTTAAAAGTCTTCTTTTGTTCTAGAATAGTATCACATATTTAAAGGTGGGCACAAATGCTAGTTAGTTAATATACTCTTCTAGGGTTAGAACTACTTTTGCCGGGGCGCCTGGGTGACTCAGTCATTAAGCGTCTGTCTGCCTTCGGCTCAGGTCATGGTCCCAGGGTCCTGGGATCGAGCCCCGCGTCGGGCTCCCTGCTCGGCGGGAAGCCTGCTGCTCCCTCTCCCACTCCCCCTGCTTGTGTTCCCTCTCTCGCTGTGTCTCTCTCTGTCAAATAAATAAATAAATCTTAAAAGAAAAAAAAACTACTTTTGCCTTTCATGTGGTCAGATGGAGATGTTGTAGGAACTTGGTTTCTGTGCTATTTTTAGAGGAGAGAGAGGTAGCATGCAAAATGGGTCTGAAGTCTTAGGAGGCTGAGAAAACTCAGGAACTTGTAACTTACCACTAAAAGATTTAAACAAGTAAAAGGAGAACCAACTTTAGCTGTTCAAAACGTTGAGTTCTGCTTTTGTGTGTTCCTAAATACTAAGAGGAAACACGAATCTATCTTTGGGCGAAAGACAGCAACCTTTTCTTAAACTCGGAGCTCCTGTTCAGAAACAGGGTCTTCCTGGTATGTGAGGACTGGAGTCTGTGAGTTCACACAGAGCTGCGGGAATGCCTGGGGTCCAAAGCACCCAAGGGGGACCCAGAGGCCTGGCCAATACCATCCTAGCGTCCGATGCCCACTATTTGACCAAGGGAGTTTGGGAAGCACACAGAAGAATCCTTCTCTTACCAGAGTCAGCTCTAGGAAAAAATAAGTAGCATTCTTTTTGAAAACACCCTTTAAAACCATCTATTTCCTTTGCCTGGTTCTGCTTGTATGAAAAAGAATTTTTGAATGGGTACTATTTGCACATGTAATCAATTTATTTATTTATTATTTATTTATTTTTAAAAGGTTTTATATACATGAGAGAGAGAGTGCGAGAGAGAGAGAGAGAGAGAGAGAGAGCATGAGAGGGGCGGGGGTCAGAGGGAGAAGCAGACTCCCCGCTGAATGGGGAGTCCGAGGCAGGACTCCATCCTGGGACCCCGGGGATCATGACCTGAGCCAAAGGCAGACGCTCAACTGACTGAGCCACCCAGGTGCTCACATGTAATCATGTAATCAATTTAAAAGGTAACAAATGTAAAAGATACAAAATACTATAAATCAAAACAATCTCTCTCATCTTTGCTCCCCACAGATCCAATTTCCTTCAACAGAAGCAACCGCTGTTGCTTGTTCCTGACCCAGCCTTCCAGAGATGTTACAAGGATATCGAAGTATGTAAACACAGACCCATGCACACACACACACAAAGATAGAGCCTATTTCCACCTTGATCTTTTTATTCAATTTGTCTTGGAGGTTGTTGCTAAATTTATTCCTATGTATTTCATTGGACAACTCTATATGGACTCATATTTCTATTTTTTCTATGATAATCTGTCGATTTAAAATTTCTTTTCTGGTGTCATAATTGCAAATTTATATTTTTCTAGAAACATGTGCATTCCATCTATATTACTCTCACTTATTTGTAGAGTTGAGGAAGACAGTAACTTATGATCCTTTCAATTTCATCTGTCTGTGGTTATTGGCCTGTGCTCATTTCTAACTGTGCATTGAATAGGTTAGCTAATGCTTTATCTATTTATTTTTCCCCCCTCCAATGAAGCAGCTCTTGGATTTATGTATTAGTACTACATTTTTCCTCCTCTTTTCAAAATAATAATTTCTGCTTTTATTTGTATTAATTTTTCTTTTGTTTTCTTGGGTTTATTTTGCTATTTTTCAAATATCTTGCATTAGATGCCTAATTATTTTCACATTTTTTGGATTAATATAAGTATTTAGTGCTACAATGTTCTTCTGAGCAATAGGCTTTATAACGCATATAGGAATTTCAGTTATATATAATTGTAACATCCTATTTCCATTTATTATATATTCCAATATATATTATCTCTATATTTCCATTATATGTAATTATGATTTATTATTTACTTATTTTCTAAATGTTACTAGTTTTGGGGTTTGAATTCCCTTTTGATCCAAGAATTAGAAAGAGTTAAAACATTTCTAGGTCAGTATTAGCTGTCTTACTCCTATTTTGTGAGACTACCTGAGGTTTTCTTTATGGTCTCAGATATGGTGAACTCTCATTGTAAATTGCATCCTTTATCATTACAAGGTTCCCTCCTTTATGTAATTCAATGCTTTCTGTCCTGAAATCAACCTTTACTGATATCAAGATTGAGACTCCTGCCACTTTGGCTTTCATTTGCTTGGTTTGCTTTGAAATCTGTTTTTAACCTTTCTGTACGACTTGGTTGCACACAGCATTCTGACGGGTTTTGCTTTGTGATTCAATCTGAGAGACTGTGTTTAGTAGAGGTATTTTATGGCATTACTATGACATATGTATGTTCTAAGTATTCTTAGCTCTATCGTTACATTTTATGGTGTGCTTTCCGTGTTTATGAATTTTTGTTGTTGCTTGCTTTTTAAAATCTTTTACTATATGGTCTGTGTGTGTGTGTGTGTGTGTGTGTGTGTGTGTGTGTGTCTTTTAAGTTTGAAAGCTAGTAATTTTGTTTTAGTGGTTACATCTGTATATAAGTAACTTCAATATAATATACTTAATCCTCTGTTTCTCAGAATCTGCTAAGCTTTTCCTTTCTTACCCTTTCTCCTTTCTCTTTGCTACCAGACTTGGGTTTCTGATGCTTTCAACTGTTAAGAAGCCTAATAAAGGCACTCTTGTTTCCCAGTAGATGGTGCTAGGGACACAATATAAAGAGCTTGCTTTATAAACATCCACCTCTGAATTCAGAGTCAGCCCTCTAAAACCTGATCAGTTCTAGGGGAATGAAGAGTTGAAGTTTTGGGATCCCTCAGGCCAAAGGCCAAATCCTGGATGGAAATGACCCACCTGGGTGCTACTGTCTTGTGAAGTCTGGGTGACCAACCACCTCCCACACTGATTTTTAAAAAGGTAAAATGTTTCCTTATGAAACAATTAGTCTGGGAAAAAGCAGCAGCTGTTTTCATGGGCTTAAGAAGATTTTTGTCTTACCAACCCATATTCAGAGTATCAATTTATGTTATGCTTTTTTCCCTAACCTTATATGGTATTCACAATATTTAGTTCCTTAAGGTCATGCTTCACTCAAACTCTGACCCTTATGACAGTTCCAATGTAATATTGCACAAGTCAGTCAAGATTACTTATTTCTCTTGACTTTAAGGTAAAAAGAAAGTCATGGAATTTTCATGAAGGAGGGAGCCAGGGCATATTTCAGGTCTGTTTACCTGATACTGAGCAATCTACAAATCAAGGTTTATATTAACTTTTCTCTTTGTAAAATGAAGCTATTATTTGCTGCCTTATATACATTATATGGAAATATTTGATAAATGATAAATGGTTTCTGGAGGGTTGCATAAATAAACAGGCCAAATTTCAGGATAACATATGTAACACAAAGGAGAGCCTAGAGGGGGTAAGACTTCAGAATGGCAGAGAAGCCCTGACTTAAAAATGAGAAACTTGGGATAATTCCAAAATGAGATGTTAGCTAAATGAGAAGAAAAAAAGAGAGAGGGTTCCAATCTACCTTGTTCCAGCCTCATGCCCTGACACATGTACCTAATCATCGGGCAGATGGAAAACTTGGAATTGGTCCCCCAGATTCACTATGTCTTTGGGCCCTTTCTCATAACTGGAATGTCCTCTCTGTGCCTACCTCCAGCACACCCTGGCAAAGTTGTTTAAGAATACTTACTCTCCAATGCCATTTCCTCTGTGAAGGACAGTAACCACCACAGCTAGAACTAATCTCCTTTTCTACTTGGTTCCTACCACACTTTGAACATTCTTTCTTTGTTTTTTTTTTTTTAAGATTTTATTTATTTTTTTTGAGAGAAAGAATGAGAGAGAGAGCACATGAGAGGGGGGAGGGTCAGAGGGAGAAGCAGACTCCCCGCCGAGCAGGGAGCCCGATGTGGGACTCGATCCCGGGACTCCAGGATCATGACCCGAGCCGAAGGCAGTCGCCTAACCAACTGAGCCACCCAGGCGCCCGACATACTTTCTTCAAAACATTGATCACATTAGGCATAATTATAGGATTATATCAAGCTCCTAGAGGGCAGGGATCGTGTCCTTTTTACCTTTGTACCCTCTGAGCATGAAGCGAGCCTTTACTCGATTGAAAAACTGATGGATGTATGAAGTAGAGGCAGAAAAAACAGGGGCAACTGTGAATGTTGGTACATCCTCTGGCAAAGTCAGAATGAAAGATCTAGAAAGTACCTTAAGAATTACCTCATCCAGTCCCCTCGCTTTGCAGATGATAAGATTGGGAACCAGAGAGCTAAAGGGACTTGCCCACGGTGACACATCTTCACAGTGTCAAAGTCTCCAGGCTCCTCACCCTGGAGTGACTTGGGTACAGTGCCTTCTACTGCCAACCCTCCAAGTGATTTTTCAAATAATTTGGAAAATCAATGTGCTGTTCTAATTTTGGTCTCTCTGCATATGTGACTTTGTACTTTGGTGCTAAGAATAGAAGATGTCAAAATCACTCTCTCAGCAATGCTGAGTGTACAGA